TGATCTTCTGGTCTAAAATGACAACACTTTGGCTGACACAGTGCTTCACTTCTTCCCTGCACTATGAACAGAGATTTTTATATGCCTTATTCACTGTTGTATTTAGAACCTAGAATAGTACCAGGTATATGGGAGGTGCTATATAAATATTTACAGAATAAATGCAGAATGAATTTAGCCAAATCCTTTATGTGCTTTTCTAATACTTCCGCAGCGAATCCTAGAGACTTTCCCAGTGTGGGAACTGAGTAGCTCTGTTGCCAAGTAGTGTCAGAATCCCAGTCTAACCTTTAGGTTTCTTTTCACTATGTGCAGAGTTGCTTTTCTTTTTTTATTTTTCCTGTTGCTTCTAAGTTCTTTTCCTTCCGCCTCAATGGTTTTCAACCTCAGCTGTGTGTGAGAATCACCAGAGGGATCTTTAGAAAATCTCACAGGATTCTAATTTAATGGGTCTGAGTAGGGGAGGTAAGTGATACCTGGGCCTCTTAGATTTAAAAGCTCCCCTGGTGATTATAATATGCAAGCTGGGATTGCAAATCATTGCTCTAAGTGAGTTCCTGGGTCTCAGATGTATTCATTAATCTGTGATCACATTCTCTGCTTCTATATTTACATTGTTTTGAGAGACTGAGGTGTTTAAGATATAATCTCAGAATGTCACATATTTATACTTATGCAATATGATATTGCATTTTAAACATCTCAGCCTCTCAAAGCAATGTGAAGATGTGAAAAGAAAGCAGATAATATGCTCTTAGAAGATACTTTAAATCATAGATAAATGAGTGAGCATGGGTTGCAAAGTCAGCCCTACTCAGCAAGTATTTATTGAGTGTCTGTTGTGCACACAGTTCCTAATGCCATATTAAACACTGTGATGATGCTCAGGGCTGAGAGGGAAGGAGGGTGCTTGATTTATCCTTGTCCTCATGAAATTAAAGGTTTTCAAGACAACATTATAAAATAATACACTATGAAGTGTCAAAATATATGTACCTGATTCCGTAAAATATAAGAAAAGATATGGACTGGACAATAAAAGTCAAAATAGCCAGTGTCTGAGTGTTTTGCCATATGAGGGAGAAATAAGAACAATTAAATAATTAAGAGGAATGATAATGATAACCAGTCTCACTCTGCCACTGGGCTGGAGTGCAATGGTGCAATCTCGGCTCACTGCAACTTCCAACTCCCTTGTTCAAGTGATTCTCCTGCCTCAGCCTCCTAAGTAGCTGGGATTACAGGCACGCACCACCATGCCCAGCCAATTTTTGCATTTTTAGTAGCGACAGGGTTTCACCATGTTGGCCAGGATGGTCTTTATATCCTGACCATGTGATCCACCAGCTTCAGCCTCCTAAAGTGTTGGGATTACAGGCGTGAGCCACCATGCCTGGCCAAAAGAAACGTTTTTATTGGTCATTAATTTTGGATAAAGCAGACAACTGGGATTTTCATAGTAATTACAGTGATAACTTTGGGTCATTAGTTTATTCTAGAAACATCCATCTGAGTGTTGAGAGAAGGTTTGGCAGATAAATCCACTCTGAAAATAACCTTGTGAGTGATATTAATCCTTGCATTGATTGGTCTCTTTTAGAAGTTGTTACCTACCAGTTATTGGACATAGATCTTCTCTTTTCTCCCCCCTCCCCCCACCAGGAATCTGACCTCACCTTCCGCCTGGCCAGTGGACTTGTTATATGGCAGCCCATGTGGGAACACAGACAGCCTGAAGTCTCTGGCTTTACTGCACTGGTAAAGCCCATCAGGAACATCATCACAGGTTGGTAACTTAGACACTCAGTGGGACAGTATTAACAGATTCTCTCATGCATAGTAGAGTGACGGGATGATTTTCCCTAAGAAGTAATAAAGAAGCAAATATCTCCATGGAGTTAAGTGTCATGATATTGGGCTTATTCACATGAGGTGATACTACTCTGAATCAACAGCACATATTTTTCTATTACAAACTTCGAGCAATTCATTTAACTTCCTTTGCCTCAGCTTCCTCATCTGTAATATGGAAATTTAAATATCATATTAATGCTACATACAAGATTGTGATGAGAAATGGAGCTAATAAATGTTAAACTGCTTAGAAGAATGTCTGGGACATAGTAAGTGGCAGTTGCGATTATTATTATGTCATCATCTTCATCATGGTAAATGGAGTAGAGTCTCCTTAACAAAATCATCTTAGTGTTTTATTGTTATCAAAGCATTTCTCTTCAGGAATTGTCTCATGAAATAGTCCCATTGTGGAACTGTAGAATGAGTACACCATGATAGATTGAAAAGTGCATGGCGGGCTCACACTTCACTCCAAATCTATCTCTTACTATGTATGTAACCTAACTTTCCCAAGCATTTCCATTTAGATAAAATTGAGGTGATAATGCCACCATATATTTAGTAAGAAGTAAATGGGACTGCATTAAGTGCCTGCTTTATAATAAGTGCTTAATAAATTCTAGTCCTCTACTCCCAACTCTATTTTTAGCATTAATAATAAAATTTTAAAAAATGAATTATGTGGAAAATCTACAGAAGCATATGTATACATACATATATATATTTAAAATATACCACACACACACACACACACACACACACACACACACATAATTTGCTTAATTCATAAGAGTTTTGTGCAGACAATGGACAATCTTTTTTATTAATACATAATCTATAGTTTAGCACGCATATAAAAACTACTAAGAAACTGTGTCCCTACATGGAAGTGCTTGGGCCATTTACTTCACCTCCTCTTGTTTCTGGATGATGTTCACAATGGGTTTCTTTTCCCTCTGCCTGATGCCTGTGGACTTGAAGCAGTGCCCAGCATCTGGGGGAAATTAGACTCACTTAGACAGCATAACTAGAAGAAAAAGCAATGGCACATGGTGACCTTGATAAATCACCTTCCATCTCAGCAGCAGTTTACTTAAAATTTGAATGAGACATTGCCATCTTAGTTTCCCACTGTTCCTGGTCTTCAGGTACAGATGTAAATGATTTGAATTTTACCTCCAGGACAGCTTAATGTAATAGTTAAAGCACAGACTCTAAAGTCAGTCTGGGTTAGAAACTTCATGCAAGGGTCAAGTGACTTTGGGTAAGTTTAACTCACTGTGCCTCAGTTTCTTCCCCTGTAAAATTGGCATAATAGTATGGTAGTATTACTGAGTTATTTTAAGGGTTAAATGAGTTATAGTTTTGTGCCATGTTACAGCATTTTGGTCAATGACTGTGTTTACAACAGTGGTCCCATAAGATCATAATGGAGCTGAAAAACTGTCACCTAGTGGTCTTGTAGCCATGGTAACACAGCACGAGGCATTACTCAGGTGTTTGTGGTGATGCTGTTGTAAACAAACCTACTGTGCTGCCTGTTTATTATAAAAGTATAGCCCATAAAATTATATACAGCACATAATACTTTATAATAATAACCAACAACTGTATAACTGGTTTATGTATTTACTCTACCATGCTTTTAATTGTTAGAGTATATTTCTTCTACTTCTACTATATATTTGTATTATTTTTAAAAAGTTAACTGTAAAACAATCTCAGGCAGGTCCTTTAGGAGATGTTCCAGAAGGCGGAATCGTTATCATAAAAGATGACAATTCCATGTGTGTTATTGCCCCTGAAGACCTTCCTTTGAGACAAGACATGAAGGTGGAAGACGATGATACAGATGATCTTGATGCTGTGTAGGCCTAGGCTAATGTGTGTGTCTGTGTCTTGTTTTTACCAGAAAAATAGGAATGCCTGGCATGTAGTGAGTAAGCAGTGGCTGCACTTGTTTTAAAACAAAAAAGTTTTAAAAGTAAAACAAATATATAAAAGCATAAAATAAACATACAAAAAACATAAAATATACTTTTATACTTTTTAATACATACTATATATATTACATACTAGTATATATAGTAATATATCCTATAAAAGATATTAAAAGTATAAAATATGAAAATATATAAAATATAAGTAAAAAAATAAATTTATAAATATATGACTATATTAAAAAGCTTATAGAATAATGTTATAAAGAAAGTAAACATTTTTGTGCAGCTGATGTGTTTTAAGCTAAGTGTTTTGACAAGAGTCAAAAAGTTTAAAAAACTAAAAAGTTTATAAATTAAAAAAGTTATAGCAAGCTAAAGTTAATTTACTTTTAAAGAGAAAAACTTTTCAAAAATAGATTTAGCAAAGCCTTCACGTTCACTCACTACTCACTCTCTGACTCACCCAGAGCAACACCCACTACTGCAAGTTCCATTCATGGTAAGTGCTCTATATGGGTGTATCATTTGTTATCTTTTATATCATATTTTTACTGTACATTTTCTATGTTTAGATACACAAATACCATTGTGTTCTAATTGCCTACAGGATTCAATACAGTAACATACTGTACAGGTTTGTAGCCTAGAAACCCTAGGCTATATCATATAGCCTAGATTTGTAGGTGGCTATACCATCTAGGTTTGTATAAGTAAACTCTGTGATGTTTGCACACTAATGAAATTGCCTATCAACACATTTTCCAAAACATATCTTTGTCCTTAAGTGATGCATGACTGTATATGTAAAATGCTTAGAGAACTCGGCATATATTAGGTGCTGAGTAGGTGTTAACTATTATCATTATTTTTAGCATTGCCAGCTTTTTAGCACCTTAACTTACTGAGTCAGACTGAAGAGATGAATATCTACATTGATAACCAAAAAATGCTAAGATTTTTGAATTGGTGATTTGAATTTCTCTTACAATGTGCATTAAAGTCTTCTTTTAAAGTAATAATGTTCTATTAAAATAGCTTTTTATTTGAAAAGGAAGTGAACTTATGAAATAAGAAGAACTTATAACCTTATAAAACGATGGAACTTCTTCCATTTTTTCAGCCAAGAGAAGTTCTCCTATCAACAGTCAAAGCCGGTCCTGTGAATCGCCAAATCAAGATGCAGGACACTTAGAGGTTAGTTTATTATAATCATAAGAAGGGAGGCAGTAAGTCCTTAGACATAATGTAGTGTAAAGGGAAAGATATGAATTCTAGAATCATACTACCAGGCTCAAACCCACTCCTCTTTCCTGAATGTGCAATTTTTAAAAGCCTCAGGTTTTTATCAGTCGTGTATGAAAATTAATTTTCTGTATCTCCCCAAAGCATGGAGGTGCTGAAACAAGGCAAAATACAACTAGTGTTTTATCTCAGTGGTTAGTGTTTAATGAGTTGTGCTTTATCTCAGTGACGAGCATGTAACACTCAATAAGTGTTAGTTATCATTACATCCCAGATTAGATAACATATCACCTTGCTCTCGATTATTGAATCCCCTGATGTTTGTTAAGTAACTGAGGTAGGCAGAATATTGCTGCTGGAGGTCAGGAGGAGGGAGTTGGAAGGAGGTGTAAGATAGTCCTACCCCTCAAAGAATCTAAAGTTTAATGAGGGGTCAAGACTAACCCATACACAACAGAAGATGCAAAATATGATATAAGATGCAGAATATAATTCAGTGCAAATTTGTCATATTTGGTCAAGAAAAGAAATGAAAGCCACAGTAATTGAAAGCCACATAGAAATCAATACTACCATTAACTTATGCCATTAAATGACCTGCTTTCACTTTCAGTTCAACATGTACAAAGTGAAACTTGCTGCCTTCCAACAAAATTGGGTCCTCTTTCCAGCTGTTATTACTGCCAGGAATGTCATCACCCTTTTTACCTTCCAACCTGGAAATTTTGGAGTCCTATTACATCTACCACTTACTGAGCAATTACTAAGTACAGACAATGTGATTTATATGCTGGAAGATGTATACATTTCACATTTAACATCTTTGAAATTGAGTATGCTTGACAATCTTCAGCCTTTTGTAATCTCCCTACTGGTAGCTGTCTTGATATGGTTGTAATTCTTGTGCAGCATGAATTCGGTCATTTCCAACATCTGAAATTTCAGCATCAGAGTCAGTGGATTATAAGAACATGTCAGAGGGAATAGTAGAGCACTATTTTAAGAAATGACACTCTTGATATAGAGGAGCTTATTCTTTGTAAAAACTCAAATATTAATAATTCTGGGTTGAAATTTTTAAATGTGAAGTTTTAGGAATACCTACACCAATTTTTTTCACTTATATTTTCCTCTTACATAAACACAGGATGGAAATATAATTAAAAAGCTATGCCTAAATAAGTGTAAAACAGCTCTCTTTCAGCAAGTATAAAATAAAAATCCTCAATAATAAGAAGTAAAATGTCCTAGTTTAATTAATAGGGTATTTTTTTCTTAAGGTTACATAAAATAATGATGTGTCTTATAAATGATGACATCTTAGATACAATGAAATACGTACATCTCATATTATGCTCTACTTAATCCTCTCGATTTGATTTCCTGCTAAGTCATTTTGTTTTCTTTTTGTTATGTTGCTCAGATGTTTTCTTTATTCCTTATGCCCACTATCATCCTCTAATTGAGGCCCTCATAACTAAACTGCAGCCGGACCTACCTAATTGAAATTTCAGTCAGTTAGTTAACTATTGTCTCTAACTTATAGTGCCTGCTCATTGTACCCTCCAAATCTTTGCTTAGATTGTTTCCTGAAACTGGAATCTTTTCTTTCCTTTGTCTAAACTTTATCCTTTTGAGGGCCAGTTAAGATCTCAATTCCCACTGAACTCTTGTCTAATTTTTCTAAGCCTGCACTGTACAATATGTGGGCCTCTATGATAGGCCCACATGGCTATTGAATACTTGAAATACAGCTAGTCTGAATTCAGAGTGTAAAATGTACATCAGATTTTGAAAATGTAGTATAAGAAAGAATGTAGACTTAGTGTGGTGGCTCATACCTTTAATCCCAGAACTTAGGAAGGCAGGCAGATCACTTGAGCCCAGGTGTTCAAGACCAGTCTGGGCAACATGGTGAAACTCTATCTCTACTAAAAATAGCAAAATTAGTGGGGCATGGTTACACATGCCTGTAGTCCCAGCTACTTGGGAGGCTAAGTGGAGAGGATCACCTGAGCCGGAGACATGGAGGTTGCAGTGAGCCAAGATCACACCACTGCATTCTAGACTGGGTAAGTGAGACCCTGTCTAAAAGAAAAAAGTAAACATCTCAATAATTTTTGTATTGATTCTATGCTGAAATGATAATTAAGAGTTAAAAATAATATATTATTAAAAATAATTTCACCTGTTCCTTTTCACTGTTTTTAATGTGGCCTCTACAAAATTTAAAATCAGATATGTGGCTGTTTGTGGCTTACATTATATTTCTATTGGACATGCTTCTCTGGCCTATACATATCTGTCTTGAGACTTACCTGTAAGTTCATGAGTTTAAGGTTCAGATTCATCTAATTTTTTAAATCTCTCAAATCACCTAACATGAGGCACAGATAGTATACTTATGCTAAATAATTTTATGGTCAAGTTTAGAAGACTTAATTCATCAAATTTCTAGCTGTATTTGTCTCTCTGTCCATCATGATTGAATAATGACTTATTTTGTGTGGAAAAATTAAAATTGTAAGGGCTAAACTTCCATGATAGATTGTTGAGGGTCTTTATACTTTAGTAAAGAATTTCACCTATAATGCCTATGGGAAAATATCTCACATTACTTGGGCAGAATTACATTTATCGGCTAAATGTAATTAAAATAAGCTACCTGGTAAGAGAACTGCTGAACGTGTACTTATAAATCAGAATAAAGGTCATTGTGTCCAATTAGAAAAGTGTATTGCATCTCTCCGCTGATGAATGAAGAAAAAGTTGAACCTTGCACTTCTGTTCTCATGTTCCGGCTTCAGTTTGATTAGTTCCTACTAACCTGGTGCTTCCATTTTAGCCTCATGCTTCTATTCAGTTCACCTCGGTATGATGAATTCTTGATGTGTAACTCTCCTATAGATACTGGATATGAAGATGAAAAAGAAAATAGTTAAAAAAATAAATAAAATATATGAAATTACTTTGCCTGATGCTTGAAATGACAGGGGTGATCCCTAGAAGCCTGTTTCTATTCTCTCTGAGATGAAGTCAAAATCCCTTGGCCCATAGTATCATAATTAACTATGATGAAAAAATCCCATTTATGGAACCATGTATGTAATATGGTAGCTAATTATAGAGGATATAGCTACAGGAAAAAAAACAAAACAAAACCTAATCTGCTGTCTCTACCTCCAAAAGGGACTCCAGGTGGTTTGTGAAACATTCCAGTCAGATTCCATATCACCCAAGGCCACCATTTCGGGCTGCCACCGAGGAAACTCCTTTGATGGAAGTCTGTCCTCCCAAACTTCCCAGGAAAGAGGCCCATCACATTCCAGGTACCTGCTTGCAATGTTAGGGACAAAATGTGCCACTGGTCACCAAAAATCAAATGTGCATTTTTAACTACTTTTATAGCCTCTGTTCCTTAAAATATGTATTTGTATAATATGTGGATACATATTTTTGGTCAAGATATAATTAATAATTGCAGAAATATGCTGTGAATGACTCTTTTAAACAAACTAGGGTGAAAGTAGAAAGATGCTTCTGATTTCATGAGATGTCTGAATTAGATATTACTTAAAATGTTTAAGTGCAGAACTCAAGTGATGCTGTCAAAAGATTATGTTGCAGAGCTATTAAAGGCTCTCTTTTAATTAATATATAAGGATATTTTATACCACTAGATCCTTGTATTAAAATGAGTGATTCTAAATTACATAGGAATTTTAAAATTCTATTAAAGTCTATTCTTTGTAAATACTCTAATCCTACCCCTGTTATTTGGTGTACATGGTGAATTTGCTCACAAACACCTTCCCCAGAAACAAGAACTAGTCTACTTCTTCTTACTCCCTGTTGAAATTATGGACACCTGGAGTCAGGAGGTTTGACACTACACCTATGGGGCAAGAGCTCCTAAGACCATTTGTGTATCCCTACTTTCAAATAAAATTATAGCCTAGTAATATGTAGTATTTTTAAAGGTACATTTTAAGACTAGTTTTATTAAGGCATAACTTATATACTATGAAATTAACCTATTTTAAGTTTACAGTTTGATATGCTTTGGCTGTGTCTCCACTAAATCTCAACTTGAATTGTATCTCCCAGAATTCCCACATATTGTGGGAGGGACACAGTGAGAGGTAATTGAATCATGGGGGCCCATCTTTCCCATGCTATTCTCATGATAGTGAGATAGTGCTTCTTCCTCATTTTCCTCTTGCCACCACCATGTAAGAGGCCTTTCACTTCCCACCATGATCCTGAGGCCTTCCCAGCCATGTGGAACTGTAAGTCCAATTAAGCCTTTTATGTTCCCAGTTTCAGGTATTTATCAGCAATATGAAAACAAACTAATATAGTAAATTGGTACCAGTAGAGTGGGGCGTTGCTGAAAAGATACCCAAAAGTGTGGAAGTGACTTTGGAACTGGGTAACAGGCAGACAATGGAATTGTTTGAAGGGCCCAGAAGAAGACAGGAAAATGTGGGAAAGTTTGGAACTTCCTAGAGACTTCTTGAATGGCTTTGCTCAAAATGCTAGTGGCATGGACAATAAAACCAGGCTGAGGTGGTCTCAGATGGAGATGAGGAACTTGTAGGGAACTAGAGCAAAGGTGACTCTTGTTATGTTTTAGCAAAGAGACTGGTGGCATTTTGGCTCTGCCCTAGAGATTTGTGGAACTTTGAACTTGAGAGAGATGTTTTAGGGTATCTGGAGGAGGAAATTTCTAAGCAGCAAAGCATTCAAGATGTGATTTGGGTAGTTAAAGGCATTCAGTTTTAAAAGGAAAACAGCATAAAAGCTCAGAAAAGTTGCAGCCTGATTATGCAATAGAAAGGAAAAACCCATTTTCTGGGGAGAAATTCAAGCCAACTGAAGAAATTTGCCTGAGTAAAGAGCAAGGAGCCTAATAATAATCCCCAAGACAATGGGGAAAATGTCTCCAAGCCATGTCTGAGACCTTTACAACAGCCCCTCCCGTCACAGGTCTGAAGGCATAGGAGGAAAAAGTGGTTTCGTGGGCTGGGCCTGGAGTCCTTGTGCTGTGTGCACCCTAGGGACTTGGTGCCCGGAGTCCCTGCTGCTCCAGCTATGGCTGAAAAGGGCCAACATAGAGCTTGGGATATGGCTTCAGAGGGCAGAAGCCCCAAACCTTGGCAGCTTCCATGGGGTGTTGAGCCTATGGGTACACAGAAGTCAAGAATTGAGGTTTGGGAACCCTGCCTAGATGTTTCCATACAACCCTATTTCAGAAGATGTATGGAAACGCCTGGATGCTTAGGTAGAGGTTTGCTGCAGGTGCAGTACCCTCATAGAGAACCTCTGCTAGAGCAGTGCAGAGGGAAATGTGGGGTCAGAGCCCCCACACCAAATCCCTAGTAGGATGCTGCTAGGGAGAGCTGTGAGAAGAGGGCCACCTTCCTCCAGACACCAGAATGGTAGATCCACCAACAGCTTGGATCATGCACCTGGAAAAGCCACAGACACTCAACATCAGCCCATGAAAGCAGCCAGGAGGGAGGCTGTACCCTGAAAAGCCGCAGGGATAGAGTTGCCCAAGCCCATGGGAACCCACCTCTTGCCTCAGCATAACCTGGATGTAAGATCTCAGGTTAAAGGAGATCATTTTGGAGTTTTGAAGTTTGACTGTTCTGCTGGACTTTGCATGGCCTTTGTTTGGCCAATTTCCCGTTTCTCTCATTTGGGACAGCTGTATATACCCAATACCTGTACCCCAATTATATCTAGGAAGTAAATAACTTGCTTTTTATTTTATAGGCTCATAGGTGAAAGGGACTTGCCTTGTCTCAGATAAGACTTTGGACTGTGGACTTTTGGGTTAATGCTGAAATGAGTTAAGACTTTGGGGAACTATTGGGAAGGCATGGTTGGTTTTGAAAGAACTTGGAGGTTCCAGGGGTGAAATGATGTGGTTTGGCTGTGTCCCCACCAAATCTCAACTTGAACTGTATCTCCCAGAATTCCCATGTGTTGTAGGAGAAACCCATGAGGAAGTAATTGATTCATGGGGGGCCAGCCTTTCCCGTGCTATTCTCATGATAGTAAAAAAGTCTCATGAGATCTGATAGGTTTATCACTGGTTTCTGCTTTTGCTTCTTCGTTTTTCTCTTGCTGCCACCATGTAAGAAGTGATTTTCCCATCCTACTGTGATTCTGAGGCCTCCCCAGCCATGTGGAACTATAAGTCCAATTAAACTTCTTTATGTTCCTAGTTTCAGGTATTTCTTTATCAACAGCTTGAAAATGAACTAATACACAGTTTAATGATTTTTACTCCAATTTAAGAACATTTTCATCACCCCAAAATTTTCCTTGTGCCCATCCCTTGTGTCACTCCCATTCCTACACCCAGCCCAAGATAACCACTAATATACTTTTTATTTCTATTGGATTGCATTTCTAGACATTTCATATAAATGGATTCATACAGTCTGTGGCCTTTTGCATCTGGCTTCTATCACCTAGCATAATGTTTTTGAGATTTAGTCACTTTACAGCATGTATTAGTAATTCATTCCTTTCTATTGTTAAATAATATTCTTTTATTTATTTCTTCTAAAAAGAATAAAACGGGACACGTGTACAAAATATGCAGGTTTGTTACATAGGTACACGAGTGCCATGATGGTTTGTTCTGTCTATTGATCTGTCCCCTAAGTTCCCTCACCTCATCCCCCACCCCACAACAGGCCCTGGTGTTTGTTGTTCCTCTCTGTATGTCCATATGTTCTCCATGTTCAACTCCCACTTATGAGTGAGAACATGTGGTATTTGGTTTTCTGTTCCTGTGTTAGTTTGCTGAGGATGGCTTCCAGCTTCATCCATGTCCCTGCAAAGCACATGATCTCTTTTCTTGTTATGGCTGCATAGTATTCCATGGTATATATGTACCACATTTTCTTTAACCAATCAATCATTGGTGGGCATTTGGTTTGGTTCCATGTCTTTGCTATTGTAAATAGTGCTGTGGTAAACATATATGTGCATGTGTCTTCATAATAGAATGATATATATTCCTTTGGGTATATAGCCAGTAATGGGATTGCTTGGTCAAATGGTATTTTTGGTTCTAGATCTTTGAGGAATCACCATACTGTCTTCCACAATGGTTAAACTAATTTACATTCCCACAAACAGTGTAAAAGCATTCCTGTTTCTCCACAGCATCATCAGCATCTATTGTTTCCTGACTTTTTAATAATCACTATTCTGACTGGTGTGAGATGGTATCTCATTGTGGTTTGGATTTGCATTTCTCTAAAGATAAGTAAGGTTGAGCTTTTTTCATATTTTTGTTGGCTGCATATGTCTTCTTTTGAGCAATGTCTGGTCATATCCTTTGCCCACTTTTAGATGGACTTTTTTTGTTTTCTTCTTGTAAATATGTTTAACTTTCTTGTAAATTCTGGATATTAGACCTTTGTCAGATGGGTAGATTGCAAAAGTTTTCTCCCATTCTGTAGGTTGCCTGTTCACTCTGATGATAGTTTCTTTTGCTCTCCAGAAGCTCTTTATTTTAATTAGATCCCATTTGTCAATTTTGGCTTTTGTTGCAATTGCTTTTGGCATTTTAGTCATGAAGTCTTTGCCCATGTCTGTGTCCTGAATGGCATTGCCTAGGTTTTCTTTTAGGATTTTTATGGTTTGGGGTTTTACATTTAAGTCTTTAATCAACCTTGAGTTAATTCTTTTATAATGTGTAAGGAAGGAGTCCAGTTTCAGTTTTCTGTATATAACTAGCCAGTTTTCCCAGCATCATTTACTAAATAAGAGATCATTTCCCTATTGCTTGTTTTTGTCAGGTTTGCTGAAGATCATATGGTTGTAGATGTGTGGTGTTATTTCTGAGGTCTCTGTTCTGCTCCATTGTGCTATATGTCTGTTTTGGTACCAGTACCATGTTGCCTGGTAGTATAGTTGGAAGTCAGGTAGCATGATGCCTCCAGCTTTGTTCTTTTTGCTTAAGATCGTCTTGGATATACAGATTTTCTTTGATACTTCTTTGATACCATAAATAAATTTAAAATAAATTTAATTTATTTTAAATTTATTGTTTTATTTTAAAAAATAAAATAAGTGTTTTTCTAATTTTGTGAAGAATGTCAATAGTAGTTTGATGGGAATAGCACTGAATCTATACATTACTTTGGGCAGTATGGCCATTTTCACAATACTGATTCTTCCTATTCAGGAGGGTGGAATGTTTTTCCATTTGTTGTGTCCTCTTTATTTCCCTGAGCAGTGGTTTGTAGTTCTCCTTGAAGAGGTCTTTCACATGCTTTTTTAGTTGTATTCC